TTCAATCATTCAGACACTATAATAATCAAGATTGGATTGCATTGCTTGTCATTTTTAAATTCTAAGAATTCATGTTTTTGGACAACAATAAATAAATAATTAAATAAACAAAACAAAAACAGTGCATGAAAGAATCTCATATATATTCTATATTAAATTGATCAATATATATTGCTTTTATTTAGGAAAATAAATACATCCACTGAGATTTTACGCTACACAGATCAGAGCTCTGATAAAACTCATTGACCAGCATTTTCCCACCATCTGTGCATGACTAATTTACTCCACAGGTCATTCTTACAGATCAGGCTGTTCCATGTGATTATTTTGGGGAGAGATAACATTATAACTAGCCTGGGTTCCAGTCTGTCGATTTTTTTATGTGCTTCAATCTGTTCGGCAAATCAAAACCAGAGATGTTATGTTATCTATGACGATCGAGTATGAAAAAGCGCGTAAGTTATGAATAAGCAAAAAAAATATCAACGCCTGAATCCCAGGCTACATTATAGCTTTCATATGCAGAATGTGTAGAAGGACATTGCAATCTTTTTTGTACAAAAATTTATAATGATTTTTAAAATCTATATATCTATTAGCTATTTTATATTTTCTTTTACGCTCAAAGAATAAAAGTTAAAATGATGAGTAGATTGACCCTGCTTTACATATTGATAGACCTGTCCAGTAACTGTTGTTAATTTTGAATTCTAAGATATCTGGGTCAGCAAAGAGTGCAAATTACAGAGGATGTACTTGATATTTTAGCAGTTTTGGAGATATTGTTTTGTTTAAGATTTTAAAGTGTTTAAGTATTGGTATGATAACAATCAGAATCACCTGGGACAAGGAGATATACAACAGAATCAGGTATTTATAAACCTTAAGTTACATCAATGCAGAAACAGGTTATATATCAAACGATCAACATTTGTAACATGAGATCAAGGTTATTTTTATATTTTCAACTTCATGCATTTGTTTTTCTGATAATTGTTTTTAATCTATACATGTAAAATCTGTAAAATATAAATTATTCAATGATTTCTTTATAATGATTGTGTATATTTTTTAAATGGCATGTTAGTAAATCTTTTTCATTGCCTACAAATTAAACAGATTAAATCAATATGATTAAATAGGACTAAATGGTACAATCAGTAGTTTTGTACAGCTGAACAGGATAATCATAATCATTTATTTTACATGTATTTGTTGTTTTTTCTAAAATTACATTTAACATTATACATACATAATTTGCAGGCTGGGACATAAGTGCTGACTGTAAGATTATAATTACCGGCAGTGTTTTAAATAATGATGTGCAGTATTAATCCTGAAAAGATATATTTTTAAATCTCAATACTTTTTTATTCCATGTCTTTTCTTGAAAAATACAAACTGGGTATTAAATATTGTCACAAATTTACTTAATTCTTATACAGAGAAATTCTTAAACACTTGTGCACTTTGAAATAAGATATACTGCATTGCTTTAGTATTTTTGAATATGCATAAGCATAGCTAATATTTAATAGTTAATACTGTTGAACATTAGATTTGAGGTTATTAAAAGATATGAAATATAACTGCATATATGCAAAAAAACATAATTCATTACCGCATCTGTGTTTAATTAATTATGAATTTTATCTTTATAGGTGAGCACAACCACAAGAAGTTCTAGGAAACACAGGCAGAGGACTAGAAATTGACATCAATAAAAGAAATTGTAATTTAAATAATCAGAAACATTTGAAACAAATCTAAGATTGAAACAGTTTCTCACTGACAGACTAAGAGCAAAATAATTGCTAGATTCTAAGAAAACCAGAACCTACCAAAACCTGCAGCTGGAAAAAAACTGTGTTATAGTGAATGTAGAGTGTTCTATTCTGTATTTGGACAAAAGGATATGTATTAAATTTTGTAAAAGAAATATATGATCATGTTAAACTCATAAAAATTCCACCCCAACCATTCCTGTGCTGAATTCCGTCCCAGAATTTTACATTTTAAGAACATTCAGGGATGCTGGAATAAGGCTGGATTTTTTCAATGTTATTCCATCAAGGCTGAACTATTTACCATGTTAAAAAGTCCAGCCTCAATGGTTGGCAACACATGGAATACCCTGGAAAAAAATCCATACTTTTGTTCCAATACTCCATGTAAATGGAAAAGCATGGAATAAAGTCCATCCTTTCCCATGGAAAACATGGAAAATATTCCATGCAGCATGGAAAATGTTCCATGTTTTTTCCCTGTTTTTCCAGCCCATTTTTTCTCAGCTTCAGGCTGGAAAAGGCTGGACAATTTTGTTCCAATACTCCAGCCTCTTTTTTTCCATGGAAATCCCAGGAAAAGCATGGACTTTTTACACCCGGGAAATACAAGGGTTGTTCAAAAAGTAATAGGACTGCAGCTCTACTGTTCACATTTTAAAATTTACGTACAAAATTTTACATGAGACAAATATCGGAACATGTTCTCTATATATAGTAAAAAAATCAAAACAAAATGTAAACAAATGAAATTTCTGTGAAATTTTTAAATGACAAGGGGTACGAAACGCGGCGCACTCTAACAATACAATAATTGACGTTCATGATGTCGTAAAGTAAATCAAAATTGTACTAAGCGTCATTCTTTCTGAAAGTACTCTCCCTAGTCTCTAGGTGTATGAGTCATGTAACTTTTACTTTGCCTCATATGTGGAGATGAAGCAAGAAAAAAAGCGTTCACATTCTCGATCCACTGTTTCAAAAAACAAAATAAAATAAATGCTCGATAGCCGGCCATTCTCCGGGTTTTCTCGTCTTTTTGAGTAACCATGGAACTCAATAGGACTGAAAATGTTAAAGCAAAAGCAATTTATTTTATTAATTTACTCATGTCATTGTATGTTTTTAGAACAATATGATTATATACAGAACAATAAAGATATTTCTCAATAGAAAAGTATCTTGTTCTACTTAGCACAGTCTATCGTTTATTAAAACAAGTTTTTGGGAAACACTACTAATTATTACCGTTAACTATTACATTAATTCATTGATTACACGTATATCTAGTTAAATACGATAAAATAGTGTTGATAACAAATGTCTTATTTACAATCCTTTGGTTAAAACTGAATAAGTAGTCCTGAAGCAGATACAAACAACGATAAACAGTTCGCGTACCCTTTACCGTGGATTCTTTTGTAGCGCTTTTGCAATTGACGTCACTAACGTCCCGTCAATTTTCAACTTTCATCCTCGCCCTTTCTCGATAGTGATCTTGTATTTGCAATTTTTGAATTGCTTGTGCCAGCTGAAAACAAGTGTCCTGATGGCAGGATAATGTTCTTTTGTTTATTTAATCATTGTGTGTGTATCTGAATGATTATAATCAATCTGTTGGCAAAATTTAACGATGGCACACATTTTCTGTTTGTTAACGAATGTCATATTTCTACATCTAACACTATGACCGCTGCTGTTCAAAACTTAATAAATAGGCCATTTCATGTCCGAATGACGTCAAATTTTGACATAATGTCACATTAATATATTTCAACGTATTGATGGAATACAGGGGAAAACAAATAGTTATTTATGAATAAATTAGAAGTAGAACTTAGCTCCAATAACTATATTTATGTGCTGCGCCGGTTGCGTGTTACCATGGTTATTCAATAGCAAAGGAAATGCGCGTTTAGCACAATATATTAAAAATCTTATGTTTGATTTGTAGAAAATATTTTACGGTTGCTGTACATATGAAAATATTCTAAATTGAATAAAATATGAGTACGCAAGACTCCCAGTCCTATTACTTTTAGAACAACCCTCGTATACATAAATAGTAAAGTGTAAAGACGCATAAAATGTAAGAGTTACACTATAGGTGCATCAATGAAAAATGATTCTTTCGCTCTTTAAACAGTTTTTATTTTGGGTATGTGATATCAAATAGAATATTATTTGTGTAGGGTTATAACTGAAATTTTTTAAACTGTTGAATAAAATACTTTTTTGAATGCCAGAGGCTCACACGTTCAATAAATTCAGTATTGAACCAACACTTATTTAATATTTTTTTATCTCTAAGATAAACTTAACTTATCAATTTTGAAATTCAAGGGAATTATTTTTTAAGCAAAAGTAAATTGTTTTCAAAACTTGTCATAGTAATATGTAGATCCATATTGTTTCAGTATTATGTAGTACTATATTATGTGATTTACTGTTTTACATATAGGGCCCGTTTCATTGTGGTAACTATAGGGACAAATTTATTGCCGAATAATATCAATATTAATTATACCAATAAAGTGACTATATATGCAACAAGCTAAAATGGCTTTGTTCATTGTCTTTTGTGATATTTGTGAAAGAATAGAGCTTCTTCAACTTCTTCTTCTTCTTAATTAAAAAGAAGACGGAAACATATCAAGGTCGCTTATAAATAACCATGACCTAGAAGTTCAAGTTATTGAATATTTTTTTTGCTGTAACTGGCTCTAACTTTGTTATTAATGAATGGATTAACATCATATTAAGACAAAACATTCTTTAGGATAAGACCTCCATGTATTTCAAACTTAAATTGACCTTGGCTGATTAATAACCATGACCTTAAAGGTTTAATAATTGAATTTTCACTGATTTTTTGCTTATATTGACTGTTACACTTGGTACTTATCAATGAATTATCTTCATACATGGCAAAAGAACCTTTTGGATAAGACCTTCAATATGGTTGAACAGACCTTGAGTGTTATTTTCTTTTTATTAAATTTCCTTAATTGATGTTTGCTATAACTTTCTAAAAATGTACCTGGAATTTGAAAGTTGCTATGTGACTACAAACTGTTTTTAAAGAATGACCAAAGTAACAGCTTATTCTGATCCAGACTCCTCACTTTGTAATGTTATATTTTGATTTATTTTCTTCTTACAGATGAGATTATATTAGTCTGAGTGTTACACAAGATGCTGTAAAGAAGCAAAATGGCAGAGGGTGGACAAAGGTCAAAAGGTTATAAGATTTTTTTAAAAATATTTTTTTTTCAAATCTAAAAAACTTAGGGTTGAAATATAACATGATACCACAATTTTCATAGCCTTTTTAAAAAGAGCCAGTTTAAAAGTTGAAAATGCTCTGAAATTTCAAAAAAGAATGATAATAAGTCAAAAATAATTGTAAAATAATCATTTTCATAGCTTAAACCTTAGCTCAATTTACAATAATAATTTTAGAAGATTAGGAAGAGCTACTGTACTCACACCAGCGTCAGTTCTGGCGTCGCAGTCACACTTTTGTTAAGTTTTTGCATGCAAGTTGGTATCTCAAAAACAACTGAAGGGAATTGATTGAAACTTCACACACTTAATGTTCTCTATGCTTATCTAATATTGTAATGGGCACAGGTCCCATAGGTGAGATACCTTTTTGTGTCGCCTCTAGGGAGTAGTGGCCACATATAAGGATCACTTTTCCGTCGTCTGTCCGAGCAAACATTTTGGGTTTATGGGTTATATAACAGTAAAGAGAACAAAAGAGAACAATAGGTTCATTTCGTGATCAAAGGGTTTGGGGCTAGTAGCCCTTAAGAAAACAAAGAAAATAACAAAGAAAATAGCCCCTAAAGCCAAAATGTTGGAAAGTCCGTCCGTCTGTTCGTCCGTCACAAAACTTGTCCGGACTACTCCTCATAAACTGCTGGTGCAATTTCATCCAAACTTTACAGGAATGATCAGTACCAAGTCTAGTTGTGCATATTGTCAGCATTTTCCGGTTCAATGATTTTTGTCAGAGTTATGGCCCTTTAATAATTTTCTTTTTTTAAAGTTTGTCCGGACTACTTCTCTTATACCACTAATGCAATTTCAATGAACCTTTACAGGATTGATCTGTAGCTCAAGTCCTTGTGCATATTGCACGAGTTTTCCGGTTGAATGATTTTTGGCTGAGTAATGGCCCTTTGATAAAAAGGTGTTTTTATCTGTGTGTTGCCAGATACACAAAAGCTTGTCCGGACTATTCCTCATAAACTACTGGTGCACTTTTATCCAAACTTAACTGGAATGATCAGTAACAAGTCTAGTTGTGCACTGTCTGTCTGTCCGTCTGTCACAAAACTTGTCCCAACATGAAATTGGCCATCATGAGGCGACACATGTGATCACCGATCGCTCTTGTTACTAAGTTAAGCCCCTTATTTTTATTTCAAGGACTGAGGAAAGTTGAGTGGGCTGTGTGACTGACAGCTGTTGTTATTTATGCAAAAGTATATGACATATGAATCTTAGATTTTTCAATTGGGAAGTTTTTATGTTGTGTATATTGAAAACTGAGAACACACACAAAATTTCTTGTTAATTAAATGTAAAGGCTTGACAGAAAACTGCTTTTGGAGCTTTTAGTAGATACATATTGACATACGTCTGTTTTCCTAAACTTCCCTAGGTTCAAAACCTGTTTGTTACATGGAACTTTTCCTTGCGCAGATGCTTGTTAGCATAGTTTCAATTGAGAAGATGTGACCCTCTACCAAGTTTTAAACTTAGTATTGTCTTGCTCCTGCTTGAGAAAATACAATGTTGGGCCTTCACTGATGCTTTCTTGTCGTAATAAAAACATTAAATTATCTTAGAAATGTTGATAATGTCAAGAAAAAAAAAAAGATGGATGGAGGACATTTAGCTCAAATGTCATACATTTTATACATTTCTTTATTGAATCTTTTGTAAGATTTAATATTCCATGTTGTTTTTTTTTCTAGGAGGAGAAGAAAATATTCCTGATGCTGATGATGGAAGTGTGAGTATATGTATATTAAGATAATTTCATTTAATATTTAAAGATATTGAACAAAAGTTTTTTGTGTGATTCTTTTACATGTGTTTTAAATGTTTCATTGTTGGATTTAAAGCAAATGTAACATTGTATTTCTAGTTGTGTATCTTTTTTTGTGTCAATTTGATAATTTTTATTTGTTTGGGTCATCAGACCAAACAAATAATGGTAGCGAAATTTCAGACTCTAATGCTGTTAATGGCAAATGCCGAAAGTAGTCCGTTTTTTTGAAGCGGTTACTTCCCTTTTTATGTACACTAACGCCGAAAAATTCAGGGGAGATCACTGCTTGAGAGATGGTCAAATGACAGGCGCATTAATTTTCAAGCAAAATAATTCCCGAATGGGCGAAGATTTCTAATATTGTTTTATTCTTTATAGATATACATGCTTATAGTAAGCTCCATGATTATTTACATCTGTGTTAAACAACAGTAAGCATCGTTACAAACCCTAATTTAGAATAATATGGTTTTCTTGAGGCCGTTAACATAAATATTCACCGTGGCCGAGGGGTTTGCCCGCTCGCTTAGGAAGCGAGAGCTCTGGAGTTCAAGTCCCAGATAAGGCAACCCATTTTTGTGTCGCCTCTACGGAGTAGTGGCGACATATAGGGATCACTTCTCCGTCGTCCATCTGTCCGTCTGTCTGTCCGTCTGTCCGTCACAAAACTTGTCCGGACTACTCCTCATAAACTACTGGTGCAATTTCATCCAAACTTTACAGGAATGATCAGTACCAAGTCTAGTTGTGCATATTTTCAGCATTTTCCGGTTCAATGATTTTTGGCAGAGTTATGGCCCTTTAATAATTTTTAATTTTAAAGTTTGTCCGGACTACTTCTCTTATACCACTAAAGCAATTTCAATGAAACTTTACAGGATTGATCTGTAGCTCAAGTCCATGCGCATATTGCAAGGGTTTTCCGGTTGAATGATTTTTGGCCGAGTTATGGCCCTTTGATAAAAAAGGTGTATTTTTCTGTGTGTTGCCAGATACACAAAAGCTTGTCCGGACTACTCCTCATAAACTACTGGTGCAATTTTATCCAAACTTTACAGGAATGATCAGTACCAAGTCTAGTTGTGCACTGTTCGTCTGTCTGTCACAAACTTTGTCCCAACATGAAATTGGCCATCATGAGGCGACACATGTGATTACTGATCGCTCTTGTTTTTTTCAAATTGTTTTAGTGAAATAAACATTTGATTGAATATCTGTGTTGCAATTAGTCTTATAGCCAATTTACTACAATTAAAACACTGAAAAGCATTGGTGGCACTATACAAAAACAAATTGGTTTATAATCCCACAACCTGCACCTTTCTTACATCCTGAGACCCAAACAAATTAAGCGCCTTCTGTGCTTTGATTGGTAAATGGTTTTGAAAGCATATGTCAACAACCTAGAAAGTTCATTGACTTGAAACTATTTTGGGAACATAATTTTGTAATATTTATTGATGTCCATTATTTTTTGACATGAATTGTCACTAAATTATTTTAGTGTAAATTGTTGCATTATATTCAATCTCAAACGGAAAATTGGCAATAGATAGTGATAAGTTCTTTTGTAAATCTTGAACACTAACGTCTTAGTCACTTACTCTTATGTCAAGACTAAGTAATTTATTTTCTAATCTTCTATAGCAGGAAACAACAAAAAAACATAGGAGTAATGCTACATATACTGAACCAAAAAAGAAACTTTCGCAAAGTATGTGCCAGTTGTTAAAGGGTACCACTTAGATGTACACACTTATATACATGTAGAAGCTTGTAAAACTCGTTTTGTTTGCAAAGCCCGATATGTTTATTCAAAGTAAAAATCAAGTTACAAAAGGATTGAAAAACTGTACTAGCATATCTACATTCAAACTTGGAGAAAGTTTCTTTTTTGTTTCAGTATATTTGTTAGTACATATTTTAAATCAATAGAGTACATTATAAGTTACAAAATATTACAAACAGAAAATTATTGTAAAATCCGTAAAATATTTGTAAGCAAGTTATGCTCAGTAAAACAAAAAAGAAAATTCATGGAATTGTGCAATTTTAAGAATTATATTTCAAAAGACAATTCTTATGTATAATGTACAGGCTTAATGTTCAGCAAGATTGTGTATAAAAAAATTTATTACAAAAAATGTGTTGTAATTAGGAAAAGATGACGTCAGGTTAGGCATATTTATTTAAAAAAAGTACTTCAATATATTAACAAATGAAACTGTTGTGTGAAGAAAAACCGTAAAAACACTATACATGTATATATAAAGATATATCTTACTAACCCATGGTATACACATGCATATTTTGAAGTAACGCACATTCAAACTATATTTTATACCAGGGTTGTCATTGAATATCGCGATATTGATATATCATTGATATTCATCATCCGATACAATATTGATACACACTTTCAAATATCGATACAAGCTAAAATTTATTTAATTCTGTAAGTGAATATACCTCTCTATTTTGCATAATATTAGAGAAGTCACTTTTTCCCAGTTTTCTTGGCTAGCTTGAACTTTAAACTATGTGACAAAAAAACCAGAAAAAAACAAACTTTCTGTTAGTTTGTAATATTTGTTATGTCTTATACAAGCATGCATAACACCATGATCCTAATTTAAGAAACATAGTTAAAAAATTTTCATTGTACTTACTGTTAAAGTCGGTATATCGATATATGGTTGTCTCTCGATAAATCAATACAAAATTGTCAATCAATGACAACCCTATTTTTATGAGAATAATTTTATTTTTTTCCAGTCAGGAGAAGAAGAGAGTCATAAAAACAGGAGAGATAAGGATGAGATTTCTATATCAGGTAACATTAATACATTCACAGTTATATTTAAACAGGCTTAACTGATTGATGTAAAAATCTGAGGCCTGGTAGCTAATGGTGGACTCACATAATTTTTTCCATGTACATGTTCTACATATATAACTAGGGATTTCAACAAACTTTTACAGTCTTATTGATAGTGAAGTATACTGAATATTGTAACCAAGTATTCTGGTGCATATTGTCTGTGTTTATGTTAAATGTTGATAAATTTTGGTGAAATTATTACCCTTTATAGCTCTACAATCAGCTTTGCTACAGTCATTATGGTTGATGTTCACTCTGCCTTTGCTGTTGATGTTGCTGATGCTCAGTTGCCTGCCGGAAATTTAAACATTTGTCACAAGCAACAAGACCTTCAAGTTTCAATCAGACTGACCTTGCCCTTCAGTGTTTGATATTTGAATTTTGCTTGATATTAGATATAATTTGCAGAGGAACACTGACAACGAACCTGACATATAAAGTTATTCAAATATGACCTTTGACATTTATATGACATTGACTGTCAAAGTGAAATTTTGAATTTAGCTTAATTTGTCATAACTTTGTTTATATCCCCCCGCCGATGGAATTGGCGGGGGGGGGGGATAGGAGATATAGTTTTGGCATTGTCCGTCCTTCCGTCCGAGCAAACATTTTGGGTTAAGGGGCTATATAACAGTAAAGAAAACAAAAGAGAACAATAAGTTCATTCCGTGATCAAAGGGTTTAGGGGCTAGTAGCCCTAAAGAAAACAAAGAAAATAACAAAATAAGCCCTTAAGCCAAAATGTTGGAACATCCCTCCGTCCAAACTTCGTTTCCGGATTAGTACTCTGCAACTACTGACGGGAATTCAACAAAACTTTATGGGAATCATCAATATCAAGAGGTGATGCACATATCGTCGGCTTGTTCCGGTCTGACACTTTAACTCAGAGTTATGGCCCTTGATTAGTTATGCTGTATGCATATACATTAAAAATCGTTTCCGCGCGACTTCTCTGCAACTACTGGCTGGAATTCAACAAAACTTTATGGGAACCTTCAATACCAAGAGTTATGGCCCTTGATTAGTTATGCAGTATGCATATAGAGCAAAAATCGTTTCCACACTACTTCTCTGCAGCTACTGGCTGGAATTCAACAAAACTTTATGGGAACCTTCAATACCAAGAGGAAGCGCATATCATCACCTTGTTCGGGTCAGACACTTTAAATCAGAGTTATGGCTCTTGATTAGTTATGCAGTATGCATATAGAGCAAAAATCGTTTCTGCGCTACTTCTCTGCAACTACTGGCTGGAATTCAACAAAACTTTAGTAGAACCTTCAATACAAAGAGAAGATGTGCATATCATTGCCTTGTTGGGGTCAGACATTTTAACTCTAGAGTTATGGCCCTTGATTAGTTATGCAGTATGCATATAGTGCAAAAATCGTTTCCACGCTACTTCTCTGCAACTACTGGCTGGAATTCAACAAAACTTTATGGGAACCTTCAATACAAAGAGGAGATGCGCATATCATTGCCTTGTTGGGGTCAGACATTTTAACTCAGAGTTATGGCTCTTGATTAGTTATGCAGTATGCACAGGTAAACGTTGCGTGGCCATGACTTACACTATACCCCCGTTCCCCCTCTACAACCCAAAACCCTAAAAAAAAATTATGAAAAAAAAAAAATTTTTATGACTAAAATATTTTAGTCATAAAAAAATTTTTTATTTCATAATTTTTTTTTAGGGTTTTGGGTTGTAGAGGGGGAACGGGGGTATAGTGTAAGTCATGGCCACGTTACGTTTACCTGTGGTTGTATACTGCATAAGTTATCAAGGGCCATAACTCTAAGTTAAAATGTCTGACCCAAACAAGGCGACTATATGCCTATCTCCTCTTGGTATTGAAGGTTCAAATAAAGTTTCAATGAATTCCAGCCAGTAGTTGCAGATAAGTAGCGCAGAAACGATTTTTGCTCTATATGCATACTGCCACAGGTAAACGTTGCGTGGCCATGACTTACACTATACCCCCATTCCCCCTCTACAACCCAAACCCCCATTCCCCCTCTACAACCCAAAACCCTAAAAAAAAATTATGAAAAAAAAAAAAAATTTTATGACTAAAATATTATAAAGGTATTTTACTCTACTTTCATTTTGCATAGAAATATCACTAGCATCTCAATTATCAGCGCATATATTCATCAATTTTTCACCAATCTTGATAATCTTGGTCTCAAATCTTAGATAAATAAATACTCTTTAAGAAAACAACACTGGCACCTTCGCTGATTATACGTAGCAAGAAATATCCAAGCCCAAACTGTCAACAAATGAAACTCGGAAGAGATCTGATTGCACCGTTTCGGTAAAACTCTCACGAGTAAAACACACTAAATTCACCGTGAAAGAATATTTCTTTGTATTGCGTATTTAAATATGATAAAATTAAGTTATTATTTATAATAATTGTTCAATCAAAGCATCTTATGAAACTATAACGCACCTTTTTTCCTATATGTCAAATTCTCATTCCAAAATGAAAGTAAAATGGGCCTGCAGATTGTTTTCAAATGGAGTATTTTCATTGGTCACAGGAAAACCTCGGACCAATGAAAATAGTTAAAGGGAAACAACTCTGCTGTGCCACTTTACTATCATTTTGGATTGAGAATTTGACATATAGGAAAAAAGGTGCGTTATAGTTTCATATGATGCTTTGATTGAACAATTATTACAAATAATAACTTAATTTTATCATATTTAAATACGCAATACAAAGAAATATTCTTTCACGGTGAATTTAGTGTGTTTTACTCGTGAGAGTTTTACCGAAACGGTGCAATCAGATCTCTTCCGAGTTTCATTTGTTGATAGTTTGGGCTTGGCTATTTCTTGCTACGTATAATCAGCGAAGGTGCCAGTGTTGTTTTCTTAAAGAGTATTTATTTATCTAAGATTTGAGACCAAGATTGTTAAGATTGGTGAAAAATTGATGAATATATGCGCTGATAATTGAGATGCTAGTGATATTTATATGCAAAATGAAAGTAGAGTAAAATACCTTTATAATATTTTAGTCATAAAAAATTTTTTTATTTCATAATTTTTTTTTAGGGTTTTGGGTTGTAGAGGGGGAACGGGGGTATAGTGTAAGTCATGGCCACGCAACGTTTACCTGTGGCAGTATGCATATAGAGCAAAAATCGTTTCTGCGCTACTTATCTGCAACTACTGGCTGGAATTCATTGAAACTTTATTTGAACCTTCAATACCAAGAGGAGATAGGCATATAGTCGCCTTGTTTGGGTCAGACATTTTAACTTAGAGTTATGGCCCTTGATAACTTATGCAGTATACAACCACAGGTAAACGTAACGTGGCCATGACTTACACTATACCCCCGTTCCCCCTCTACAACCCAAAACCCTAAAAAAAAATTATGAAATAAAAAATTTTTTTATGACTAAAATATTTTAGTCATAAAAATTTTTTTTTTTTCATAATTTTTTTTTAGGGTTTTGGGTTGTAGAGGGGGAACGGGGGTATAGTGTAAGTCATGGCCACGCAACGTTTACCTGTGTATACAACCAGAGCAATAATCATTTCCATGCTACTTCTCTGTAACTACTAGCTGGAATTCAATGAAACTTTATGGGATACTAAGAGGAGATGTGCATATAGTCACCTTGTTCCGGTCAGGCACTTATAACTCAGATTTATGGCCCTTGATTAGTTATGCAGTATGCATACATCTCATTGGCATTTCCGTAATAACCAGTACTTGGCGGAGGATAGAAATTCAACGAATTTGCTTGTTAATTTACAGATTTGGTTTGTTCATGGACAAAGAACACATTTGACAAACTGACATGATGATTAATACTATTGTAACCTTGACCTTTGAACGACCTTGACCATCAGGGTCAGATTTGGAATTTGAGTTATAGTTTGTAATTGAAATTATGTTTTTCGGCAAATTCATTGTCAACAATAGTCTTTGTCCAATGTTACTTTAGAAATAAGAAAATGTGGAGATAAGAACTCTGCTAGGCATTCGTCTTGTATCTATTATCTTAGTCAATTCTTAGTATCAAAGTAGAACACAGACAGTGTCATAATTTAGGATTACCTTCTTTGTTTACAGAAATAGAGAACAAACTGATTGATTATAGTTATTAAATACAGTTTAAAAATATATATATATGAACAGCACAGCAGTAAACAAGAGTTGGTAATTTGGTCATTTTTTGGGGCTCTTCTGATTTTAGACATAACTAAAGCAGCAAAAACCTTTTCCCCTGAAACTCTGATGCAAAGAGCATAAATATTTAGGCTGAACTATTATTTTGTGGCCCTCCACTTAATTTTTAGCTCACCTGTCACAAAGTGACAGGGTGAGCTTTTGTGATCGCTTTTCGTCCAGCGTCCGTCCGTCCGTCCGTCCGTAAACTTTTACTTTAAATGACATCTCCTCATAAACCACTAAGCCAATTTCATCCAAACTTCACAGGAATGTTCCTTTGGTGGTCACCTTTAAAAATTGTTCAAAGAATTTAATTCCATGCAGAACTCTGGTTGCCATGGCAACCGTAAGAAAAAACTTTAAATATCTTCTTTTAAAAAACCCTAAGAGCTAGAGCTTAGATATTTGGCATGAAACATCTTCTAGTGAGTGTCTACCAAGTTTGTTCAAATAAAATCCCTGGGGTCAAAATTGGCCCCGATCTAGGGGGTCATTGATTTTCCCTATATGCATATAGTAAAAACTTAAAAAATCTTCTTTTAAAGAACCAAAAGAGCTAGAGCTAAGATATTCAGCATGAAACATCTTCTAATGAGTGTCTACCAAGTTTGTTCAAATAAAAGCCCTGGGGTCAAAATTGGCCCCGCCCCAGGGGGTCATTGATTTTCCCTATATGCATATAGTAAAAACTTAAAAAATCTTCTTTTAAAGAACTCAAAGAGCTGGAGCTAAGATATTCAGCATGAAACATCTTCTAATGGGTGTCTACCAAGTTTGTTCAAATAAAAGCCCTGGGGTCAAAATTGGCCCCGCCCCGGGGGGTCATTGATTTTCCTTATATGTGTATAGCAAAAACTTAAATAATCTTCTTTGAAGAAACCCAAATAGCTAGAGTTTAGATATTAAGCATGAAACATCTTTTAGTGAGTGTCTACAAAGTTTGTTCAAATAAAAGCCCTGGGGTCAAAATTGGCCCTGCCCCGGGGGTCATTGATTTTCCCTATATGCATATAGTAAAGACTTAAAAAATCTTCTTTTAAAGAACTCAAAGAGCTAGAGCTAAGATATTTGGCATGAAACATCTTCTAATGGGTGTCTACAAAGTTTGTTCAAATAAAAGCCCTGGGGTCAAAATTGGCCCCGCCCCAGGGGGTCATTGATTTTCCGTATATGCATATAGTAAAAACTTAAAAGATCTTCTTTTAAAGAACTCAAAGAGCTGGAGCTAAGATATTCAGCATGAAACATCTTCTAATAGGTGTCTACCAAGTTTGTTCAAATAAAAGCCCTGGGGTCAAAATTGGCCCCGCCCTGGGGGGTCATTGATTTTCCTTATATGTGTATAGCAAAAACTTAAATAATCTTCTTTGAAGAAACCCAAATAGCTAGAGTTTAGATATTAAGCATGAAACATCTTTTAGTGAGTGTCTACAAAGTTTGTTCAAATAAAAGCCCTGGGGTCAAAATTGGCCCTGCCCCGGGGGTCATTGATTTTCCCTATATGCATATAGTAAAGACTTAAAAAATCTTCTTTTAAAGAACTCAAAGAGCTAGAGCTAAGATATTTGGCATGAAACATCTTCTAATGGGTGTCTACAAAGTTTGTTCAAATAAAAGCCCTGGGATCAAAATTGGCCCCGCCCCGGGGGGTCATTGATTTTCTCCATATATGTGTATAGCAAAAACTTAAATAATCTTCTTTGAAGAAACCCAAATAGCTAGAGTTTAGATATTAAGCATGAAACATCTTCTAGTTAGTGTCTACAAAGTTTGTTTAAATAAAACCCCTGGGGTCAAAACTGGCCCCGCCCCAGGGGTGTCATTTTTATAACTATATGTATGTAGTAAAAACTTAAAAATATTCTTTTAAAAAACCCAATGAACTAGAGCTTAGATGTTTAGCATGAAATATCTTCTTATGGATGTCTACCAAGTTTGTTCAAATACAAGCCCTTGGGTGAAAATTGGACCTGGCGGGGGGGGGGGGGGGGGAAATGTGAGATCATTGTTTTTCATTACATGTGTGTAGTAAAATAGTAAAAACTTAACATTGTGAAACATCTTCTAATGAGTGTCTTCCAAGTTTGTTCAAATAAAAGCCATGGGGTTTAAACTGGCCCCGCTCCGGGGGCCTATATACAGGTGAGCGACCTCAGGGCCATCATGGCCCTCTTGTTTAAGTTGATCCTCTGGAATCGAAATTGGCTCTGCCCTAGGGTAAATTTACTCTGTGTATGTAGACTTATATAGGAAAAACACATTTATAAGATCTTCTTGTGTGAAACAACATGTATACTGTTCCGGCAGATTTTTGGCCTGTAGCATTTCTTTGTAATCCTTTACAAAAATGACATAAATTATGCCCCTGGGGTAAAAAGGGTCCAAATTATGCCCCAGGAGTAAAAAAGGGTCAAACCTTTGGGTCACTTAGTTTAAATAGTCTTACATAGTAAAACACATTTATGTTTTCTAACAACCTTATGTGACCAGTCAAAGTTGTTCAAAAGGTTCCGGTCAGTTGCATTAAAGTAGGTAATAGGGCCATAAAAGGAGTTTCAACAAATGCAAATTAAAAAAAAAATCTTGTCTTTAAGTACAAGGCCCAAGGTCAAAATTGGCTTCCGCCCTTGGGGTCATAGATTTTTCTTATATGTATAAAGTAAAAACTTAAAAAATTCTCTTCTATGAATTGACAAAGGCTAGAGGTTAGATATTTGGCATTGAACATTTGTAGTGGACCTTTACCATGATTGTTAAAATTATAGCCCTAGCGTCAAAATTGACCCAGCCCTCGTGTCATTTATTTTCATTATGTTCATATAGTAAAAACAGAAATAAAAGAAAATGTTTTCTGAATAGGATATTCAACATGAAACATTGTCTGGTGGACATGTATCAAGATTGTTTAAATTAAAGACTTTTGGTCAAAATTTGGAAATGCCCAAGAGAACACAGTGACCTACTGTCTTGTTCTTTGTTGTCATTTGGACCATGTGCATAGTTTGAGATGTTAAATTGAATTTTAATATCAGCTGATCTAAATTTTGACAAATTACCTCCATTTTTGTCTTTTTATGTACAGCTATGAAATTTGGTCTATGTACACAGTTTAAGATGTACAATTTACCTTTGATATAAGCTGACAGATATTTTGATGATGTGACCTTCTTTCTTGTCCTTTGATGTACTGTCATGAAATTTGGACCATGTGCACAGTTTGTCATGTAAAATTGAAATTTTTAACATCAACTGACCTAGATTATGACAAATCACGTACTTTCTTAGCCTTTGATGGACAGCTATGAAATTTGGACCATGTGCACAGTTTTAGATGTAAAATTGCACTTTGGAATCAGCTTACCTAGAATTTGATGGAGTGACCTCCTTTGTTTTTTTTTTACGTCAAATTACCTAATTATTGTCCTAGTGACCTACTTTCTTGTTTTTGATATACAGCTATGAAATTAGGACCACGTAAAAAGTATAATTAAAAAATATATTTTGCACAAAGTATTGTCTTATGACCAACATTGTTCATATTCTTGTAATAAACACTAGCTTTCACTGCTTTTATGCAAATAACAGTCTGTACTTTGGGGCCATTGGCTCCTTTGTTTTAAAACTGATTCTACTTACATTTTATTTTCTTCATGCAGGTGACAAGTTGTCTTTTAACATTGGCAAAGCTTGGGAGACAGTGAAATTTCAAATTTTTATTAACAAAACGCATTGTGAATATGAAGCAACAAAACAAGTTGACATGTGCAAGTTACAGTTTGTCTTGGGATCAGATATTGAAAAGATAAATTTTCTGAGAAGGTTAACAAAGGATATCAAATTTGAAGTTCTATCTGCCGGTGTTGTTGAAGTTAGTGGGGAGTTTGCCAAGAAGAAGAAGATTGAAGCAGTTTGGAGCACATTAATTATGTCAGTGAATGATGCCTTAGATGGCCAAGTTGTGGAATCTCACCGTTTTCAGAGTAGACGGGAATTAGAAAATATTCTGCAAGAATTAGATGCAAGAATAAAAATTTTGATAGTAAAAGGAATTGTAGGCATATTAACATCTTATGAAGATACAACTTGCATCACAAAGTTTGTTGGGCCACAAAAGGATATAGAAACTCTCAATAAAGGGCTATATCATGCAATGGCAAATAAGAAACGAAGTTGCACTGGTAAGAGTGATGAATTTGACATATCAATAGATATTTCATTCGATGAAGGCATATATTTTGAAACCATGAAACTAAATGAACAATTTTTGGAAAAATTTCCTCATGTGAGACTTGAAAAAGAAGAAAATAACAGCAGAGCGTACAAGTTCACTTGTTCAGACGAAAATTACCTTGTAGAGGCTATAAACTGGTTCAAGGGTTCCATGAACAAGATGAGCAGGTTTGAATTGGATTTTTCCTCTAAAAGATTTATAAACATAAGTGAAAGTGTTCAGTTTTATTTGCAAAAGTGTTTACACAAAGTGCCCGCAGATTTAATAATTCTCCCAGACAGAATTTACATTCTATGCTGTAAAAGTAATCTTCAGTCTGTTGAAAGAATTGTTGCTGATAGCATCAAATCTGTTGAACTTGAAGGCAGTTTGTTCCCAGAAGCAGAAAAGATTCAGAAGGATAGTCGTGGAAAAATACAGGTTTTCACAGGAAATAAACCAGGGATGATAATAATTTGGTATACTGTAGATAAATCTGCTGAGGCAAAGGAGTTGATAGATTTAGTACAAAAATACAGGAAATACAAGAGAAAGCCATATTCTGACAAGGAGATAAAGGCAATGAAAGCTCTTGGTGTTATTAAGGAGTTACAGGAGGAATATAAAGATATTCTTATTCGTACAAAAGATGCAGATGTTATACTACAAGGCCCAGAAATGGATCGTGTTGATGAATGTTTTGAGAAGTTAGACACTATTGTACAACAGATCAAATTTGTTGAGCTTAATTCTCTACCAGAATTGCAACAGAAGCTGCTTAAAAATGGTAAAGTACAAACATATGTGACAGAAAAGTTAAAGGGAAAGATAGCATTTTGTGAAGATGGTAAAACAGTCACTGTCTTTTTTATAAGGGAGAATGAGAATTCCAAATCAAACATTTACTTTGAGATAAAGAGCTGTTTTGTAGAGATGAAAATTGATACAAGATGTCTTGAACATGGAAAAGGAAAGAGTTTTCTTTCAGAGCATCCAGAGGAGGTGGTAATAGGTGATCAAGGGAACAAAACGTCCTGTATTATATGTTATACTGCAGATTTGAGTCAAGAAATTGAACAATTACTATATTCTTATAGCAAGAGTTGTACTTCTATTGTGGCAAACTATCTTCTGTCATTTGGTGCCAAATGCCTTGAAGAGATTAAGGAAAAACATAAGGTTGGTATTGAAATTGAAAATGACAGAATCTGTGTCAAGGGACAGTATAATAGAGGAAAAAATGTTGTTACTGAAATAGAAAGTCATCTGAACACCACTGTTTTACATTTTGGGAAGCTTGATTATAAAAGAAAACAGTTGTTAGCAGCTGACAAAAATCAAATTGACTCTGTTGTTGAGAACTGCAGATGTTGCTTGAAAGCTGAGGTATTTCCACTCCAGTCAACACAGACTGAAGGTAAGACTTTTAACAAGATAAAATATCATGATAAAGTATTGTTTGATGAGTATAAATATCTAAAATTGGTTGATTTAAGTATAATTATTAAACATAAGGACAACAGAATCTTTGATGTAGCACATTTTTATCTGTGTACTTCATATGTTTACCAGTCCTGGTGATATGTAAGGTGAGGAATCGTGGTTTTGATCCCAGTATGATTTTATCTGAGAGGCATTACACAATTACACAAACTTTATTTGAAAGATAACACATGATATGCATCTTTTTATCTATAAACAAGTAATCATCATGTAGTTATCTTCACTATAAGATATTGGAATGGTTCCATTTTCAGAGAACGGTATTGAATATCTATGCACTTGGAACCTGTGTCAGAGCAAGGAACAAATTTCTATTGCTGAGATAGACTACAAGACAGCAAAGCTTGATGGGCTCATAATTCTTGTAAATGAGTGTCTGTATGGAGAAGACATCTCTGGAAATGGTAAAAGACATTTATATTTATATGTGGTAGTTCATAATTGAATCAGTTCATTAGACATATTGTAGTATCCTCAAAACTTAAATTATAAGGGCCTGTGTGTCTTAATGGTTATGGTTGCCAACTTCAAATCGCTTCCCTTCATGTTGTGAGTTTTAATCATGTCAGGGTTTCTGGATTCTTTCATTTGAGGAAGCTATTGAACCGTCTGTGGTTCTAAACCGCCTCCGTGGTTGAGGGGTTAGAGTCGATGACTTCTAATCCAGTTACCTCTCTGGCGTGGGTTTGATCCCCGGGAGATGCTTTGGTAGTTTAGCACGGAGGAAGGTAGTCTAGTACTGGTGTAACTCTCCAGGAACGATGGTTAGGAAACTACCCGCCTATATGACTGAAATACTGTTTATAAAAGGCCTAAAATGAAACAAACAAACAAACAAACAAACAATACTAAGGTGCCATTATGTGTCTAAATTAGGGATGGCAGTGAGTAACCGGTTAACTGAGTACTCAATTATACTTCAAATACTGGATAACAAAATTGATATTCAATAACTCAGAAAGTTAGGCTTGAGCTAGGGGGCGACTTGGACGAAGAAGTCGCCTTCCGATCAGCTACTTTGCCTAAAACAAACTTCAAAGTGATTTTGAAGTCGCCCGATTTTTTAGCGATCTGTCATTCCTTTTTACGACGCTAGGTCTGTTAACAATTTGTTTATTTCACAATTACATCCAATTACAATTAATCCGCTAGTTAAGAAGGCGTGTCAAATCAACATTGTCTAATACACACCGTAAGGCAAGAGTTCACTATGTATATCTTTCTCATTATGTATTCATGCGATTGACGAATCAGAAATGCATTGTATCTACGGCAGTTTGCATTGACCAATCGGCGACACACTTACATACTGCGGCTATTTGTTGACAATTACATAAAATGGTGACAGATTCAATCAATTTGCTGATTGCATGACATATACATAATTGTTGATAATTATTGCGGTGTTTTGGCGAGTAAAGATAAACAATGCCCATCATCTTAAAGGTGTGAATATGTTCAAAAACTTGGCGTAGAAATTATGTGAAGATTTGTATCTAATATTTTACTAATACATGTACATTGAACTTAAAGTTAACACGCTGTTTATACAAAATTGATAAATCAAAATCTGCCCTGAATATAACATACTCACTAAACATGTATACAGTATATATCAAGTAGATATTGTGTTTGCTATTGGTATACATTTATGAAAAGTAGATTTATAGTAGAATTGTTTATTTGGGAGGTGTTTCTTATTTCTTTTCTAGTTTGTAAAGTTTCCTAGCTTATAATCCCTAAAGTTTCCTCACTTCTCCCTAAATCAGCTAGAGGGAGAAGTCACTTTCCCTAAAATTTTGACCTAGGTCAAGCCCTTTTTTCAAACATATTTAATTTATATTTTAATAAGATTAGTGTATCCAGTTAGATCAGAAATTCGGAGATATAAATGTATCTTCATAGATACCTGTTAAATGCAATCAAAACATCCTTGCAGAGGAGCGAAAATGATATCCTAAATTTAACAAGACAATCAACAGTTTTACTGGGATTGAACACCTGTTTTGCTTATGTCATTCGGCCTCTTATGATATACAATTACCTCAAATTGAGCATTAGTTAATTTAAACATTGTAAAATATAATATTGTTGATTTAATTTAAATAATTTGTTTATTGGTCACTCTAAGTTACATCTCTTGCAGTCCTCTTTTTAGTTATGAATTTTATGAATTTAAATAGAAAACGCAAGAAGCATGCTGATGATGTTGATATTGTGTGATAAAACTTTTAAGATCATTAGATGTTAATATAACTATTTGTTGTATTGTTTGTTTGTTCACTGTAATGACTTAAGAGCCATGAGTATTTGTTTATCATCCGAGTAACCGAGTACTCGATCAAAAAATGACCGAGTACTCGAGTACTAGTTTTGGTATTTGTTGCCATCCCTAGTCTAAATGAATGCATGAAATCCTTCATCAATTAAGCTTGAAAGCTGCCATATGGTCTTAACTGTGTTGGTGCAAAGTAAAACCCAACAAAATAAACAAACACAACTTAGATTATAATGTAGGAATATTTGCAATCTGTAATGTATTCATCTGACTTATTTCATTCTGTTGAGCCTGCATATAGATGCATATGCTTACTAGCAAAGCAGCGGTTTGAGGTATCTACTTTAGTGTCCTTACAAATTTGTTATAATTTTAACCATGCTTTATATAGACTCTCTAATAACCTGTCAGAAATGTCAACCTTTAAGAGAAGGAGTATAGCTCATTGGAATTAGAATTTGAAATGTGATAATTTTTCTGATCCAGACTGTAATTTAGCCATATATTTGATAATTCCAAAATAACTGAGCACATAATTATATAATTTAGATGAGAAAGAATATCACATGCAAAACACAGAATTGTAGTTCAAAAGTCAAGGTCATACTTATAAGGGGTCAAATAAGAAGAATGAATGCAGTTAAAATGCTTGTGTGGACTGTTAGTCTTTATTCACATATTTTTTTTCAAATTGATTTATTAACCTCTATGAAAAGGAGTGACTTACAAAAACCAGAATTGTATCTCAAATGTCAAAGTTAAATGTGAAAAATTTGAAGTAATATTTTTTAGCTCACCTGAGCACAAAGTGCTCAAGGGTGAGCTTTTGTCATCACTCTGCGAATGTCGTGCGTCCGTGCGTCGTGCGTCCGTGCGTTCTTCAAAAAATGGCGTCAAACTTTTCAAACAACATCTCCTCCTAAACCACATGGCCAATTGCAACCAAACTTTACAGAAATGATCTTTAGGTGGACCCCTTTCAAAGTTGTTCAAAAATTTAAATTCCATTAAAAACTCTGGTTGCCATTGGCAACCAATAGGAAAAACTTAAAAAATCTTCTTTTAAAAAACCCTAAGAGCTAGAGCTTATATATTTGGCATGAAACATCTTCTAATGAGTGTCTACCAAGTTTGTTCAAATCAAAGCACTGGGGTCAAAATTGGCCCCGCCCCAGGGGGTCATTGATTTTCCCTATATGCATATAGTAAAAACTTAAAAATCTTCTTTTAAAGAACTCAAAGAGCTAGAGCTAAGATATTTAGCATGAAACATGTTCTAATGGGTGTCTACCAAGTTTGTTAAAATAAAAGCCCTGGGGTCAAAATTGGCCCCCCCCAGGGGTCATTGATTTTCCTTATATGTGTATAGCAAAAACTTAAAAAATCTTCTTTGAAAAAACCCAAATAGCTGGAGTTTAGATATTAAGCATGAAACATCTTCTAGTGCGTGTCTACAAAGTTTGTTCAAATAAAAGTCCTAGGATCAAAATTGGCCCCGCCCCAGGGGGTCATTGATGCATATAGTAAAAACTTAAAAAATCTTCTTTTAAAGAACTCAAAGAGCTAGAGCTAAGATATTTAGCATGAAACATGTTCTAATAGGTGTCTACCAAGTTTGTTCAAATTAAAGCCCTGGGGTCAAAATTGGCCCCATCCCAGATTTTCATTGATTTTCCTTATATGAGTATAGCAAAAACTTAAAAAATCTTCTTTGAAAAACCCCAAATAGCTGGAGTTTAGATATTAAGCATGAAACATCTTCTAGTGAGTGTCTACCAAGTTTGTGCAAATAAAAGCCCTGGGGTCAAAATTGGCCCCGCCCCGGGGGTCATTGATTTTCCTTATATGACAGTGTATAGCAAAAACTTAAAAATCTTCTTTTAAAGAACTCAAAGAGCTGGAGTTTAGATATTAAGCATGAAACATCTCCTAGTGAGTGTCTGCATAGTTTGTTCAAATAAAAGCCCTGGGGTCAAAATTGGCCCCGCCCCGGGGGTCATTGATTTTCCTTATATGACAGTGTATAGCAAAAACTTAAAAATCTTCTTTGAAAAAACCCAAATAGCTGGAGTTTAGATATTAAGCATGAAACATCTTCTAGTAAGTGTCTACAAAGTTTGTTCAAATAAAAGCGCTGGGGTCAAAACTGGCCCTGCCCCAGGGGTGTCATTGTTTTTAACTATATGTGTATAGTAAAAACTTAAAATCTTCTTTTAAAAAACCCAATGAGCTAGAGCTTAGATGTTTAGCATGAAACATCTTCTTATTGGTGTCTACCAAGTTTGTTCAAATAAAAGCCCCTGGATTAAAATTGGCCCTGATGGGGGAGGGGGGGGGGGGGTGGGGGTGGGAGTAGATCATTGTTTTTTATTATATGTGTGTAGTAAAAACTTAACATTGTGAAACATCTTCTAATGGGTGTCTTCTAAGTTTGTTCAAATAAAAGCCCTAGGGTTTAAACTGGCCCCGCTCCGGGTGCCTTTATACAGGTGAGCGACCTCAGGGCCATCATGGCCCTCTTGTTTTAAATATTAACTTGGCACAAATGCCAAGCGAATTATTAGGTGTGTTGCAGACAAAAACTTGATTTTAATTCAAAGGACAATTAGTCACACTTAGGGGTCAATGGTAGAACTGAATAGTCAAAGTACTGATGGAAGGTGATTTTAGAATTTTTTCTAAAGTTATTTAGTAATGCTTTTCCAATCAATGTTCTCACACAAAGGACCACTTCTTGGAAATAGTTCCAAGCTATGTCCTTTAGATGGGGTACATGGTAAAGTAGAGAAGGTTGTTGGCTTCAAACAATTGTCCTTCACCATTGTTGGTTGGAAACCCACTTGGGACTTTCGATTGTTACATGTGAGGTAGCTAACATGCTAGCTAAAGGAATGATGGTGGTTTTAATTGGGTGCCTGTTCATGCCTGAAAAAATTACAGAGAGGAACCGTAGATCTTCCTCCACCAGTAAGGTTAGAAAGTCTTCACATGACCTTAACAGTGTTGATGTGACTTAAAACCAAACCTTAAAAAATATGTCATCTAAAAACCTTCTTTAGTTAGCACAACCACACACAATGACTATATGATGCTACATTACTGTACTGAACAGTCTCAGGAAGAAATTGTTGCTGTTTGAGTCTATCCCACTCGAAAAATATGTCAGAAATACGCTTATAAAACCCAAAAAAGATTGATATTTTTAGTATATTTTATGGATTTATCAAGTTATGTGATTTTAATTAAATACATTGTCCATTAAAGTTTTATAGATTTTATGTTCATGGTATTATTTATGAAATTTAATGATGAATTATTTTTAGAAGAGATATTTTTAGTATTTTTCATGAATTTATTCAAGTTGTGTGATTTTTATTTAAATACTGTTTCTTCTCAAAATGTTTGTTTTATGTATAAATATGTAAGCCTACCCCACAATTTTAAATAGTTGGTTGACAATTTTGCTCCTTGGAGGGCTTCATTTAAAATATCCCTGAAATTTACCAAAATGAGGGGCTGTTTTCAAAGTTTGCCTAATATTTAGCTCGACTTTTTTTTTTTTGAAAAAAAAAGTACAGGTATTGCTATTGCCGTTCCCGTCCGCGAACTTGTACCTGGATCATAACTTTTTTATTTCTTGGTGAATTGTCTTCATACTTGGCCACAACAACCCTTGGGACAAGACCTTTCAGTAGACCACACTAACCTTGACCTTCATCCATAAATGACCTTGACCTTCAAGGTTTAAAGTCCAAATTTTGCTTATTCATGCTGTTATTGGCTGCAACTTTGTTATTTTTGAATGGATTGTCTTCAAACTTGAACATAATAATCTTCAAGGATATCCCATTAAATGATCATATATATTTATTGGTGTGTGTGTATATAATTATATATATATATACATCATCATCATCAACAACAACAACAACAACAAAACGTGTCGCCACCACCTGTCACCACCACCACGTGACACAATGTGTCACCACCACCACATGTCACCACCACCTCGTGTCACCACCACGTGACACCACCACCACATAACACCACCACCATGTCACACCACCACGTGACACCACCATCACATGTCACTGCCACATGTCAAACCGTGACACCACCAGGTGACACCAAATGACTCCATCACATGACTTCACCGCGTGACTCCACCAGGTAAATCCACTAAGTGACTTCACCATGTGTATCTGTTTATAGAATTTTCTATTTAAAGAATTGTGTGACACTTTACGGCGTGACTCCACCACATGACATCACCACGTGACTTCACCACATTGACACCACGCGTGACTCCACCACGTGACATCACCACGTGACATCACACCATGTTACTTCACCCACATGACTCTACCTACGTGACTTCACCACGTACTCTACACGTGACACCACCACGTGACTCCACAATGTGACTCTACCACGTGACACCACCATGTGACTTTACCATGTGTCTCCACCACATGACTTTTCAAATGTGAGTCGGCCACGTGACTCGATTACGTGACACCACCTACAATGACACCATCGCATGACTCCACCACATGACATCTCAACCATGTGACTTCACCACGTGACTCTACCAAATGACTTCACCACATTGACTCTACAACGTGACACCACCACATGACTCCACCACGTGACTAGGCCGCATGACTCGACTATGTGACACCACCACATGACACAACCACATGACACCACCATGTGACACCACCACATGACTTTACCATGTGACACCATCACATGACTTTACCACGTGACTCAGCCACATGACTCAGCCACATGACACCAACATGTGACACAACCACATGACTCAACCACGTTACTGTACCATGTGACTCAACCACGTGACTCCACCACCTGACTCCACCACATGATTACACCACATGACTCCACCACATGCCACAACCACGTGACTCCACCACGTGACATCACATGACTTCACCATGTGACACCACCACAAGACACAACCACATGACACCACCACGTGTCACCACGTGACTCCCTCATGAGTATCTATTTATAGAATTTTCTATTTATAGAATTGTGTGTTTCTATTTATAGAATTGCATGTTTCTATTTATAGAATTTTCTATTTATAGAATTGCCTGTTTCTATTTATATGTATATATAATTTAGTATATTTATATATACAAAATATATAGACAAAACTTATGTGACAAGACAGACCGATTAATTTTATAAAAAGGAAACGTTAAGATTATGTTCAAACGTTTCTTTGTTTGCTTTTAGAGAAAGTAAAAAGTCGAGCGTTGCCCCCGCCCGGCGTTGGCTCTTGTTTTTAGCTCACCTGTCACAAAGTGACAGGGTGAGCTTTTGTGATCGCTTTTCGTCCGGCCGTCCGTCCGTCGTCCGTCCGTCTTCCGTCCGTCGTCCGTCCGTCCGTCGTCCGTCCGTAAACTTTTACTTTAAATGACATCTCCTTATAAACCACTGAGCCAATTTCATCAAAACTTCACAGGAATGTTCCTTTGGTGGTCACCTTTCAAAGAATTTAATTCCATGCAGAACTCTGGTTGCCATGGCAACCGAAAGAAAAAACTTTAAATATCTTCTTTTAAAAAACCATAAGAGCTAGAGCTTAGATATTTGGCAAGAAACATCTTCTAGTAATTGTCTACCAAGTTTGTTCAAATAAAAGCCCTGGGGTCAAAATTGGCCCCGCCCCGGGGGGTCATTGATTTTCCCAAAATGCATATAGTAAAAACTTAAAAAATTTTCTTTTAAAGAACCCAAAGAGCTAGAGCTAAGATATTTAGCATGAAACATGTTCTAATGGGTGTCTACCAAGTTTGTTCAAATAAAAGCCCTGGGGTCAAAATTGGCCCGCCCCGCGGGGTCATTGATTTTCCCTATATGCATATAGTTAAAACTTAAAAAATCTTCTTTTAAAGAACTCAAAGAGCTATGGCTAAGATATTGAGCATCAAACATGTTTTAATACGTGTCTACCAAGTTTGTTCAAATAAAAGCCCTGGGGTCAAAATTGGCACCGCCCCAGGGGGTCATTGATTTTCCCTATATGCATATAGTAAAAACATAAAAATCTTCTTTTAAAGAACTCATAGAGCTATGGCTAAGATATTTAGCATCAGACATGTTCTAATAGGTGTCTACCAAGTTTGTTCAAATAAAAGCCCTGGGGTCAAAATTGGCCCTGCCCCGGGGGTCATTGATTTTCCTTATATGTGTATAGCAAAAACTTAAAAAATCTTCTTTGAAAAAACCCAAATAGCCAGAGTTAAGATATTAAGCATGAAACATTTTTTAGAAAGTGTCTACAAAGTTTGTTCAAATAAAAGACCTGGGGTCAAAATTGGCCCTGCCCCAGGGGGTCATTGATTTTCTTTATATATGTATAGCAAAAACTTAAAATCTTCTTTGAAAAAACCCAAATAGCTGGAGTTTAGATATTAAGCATGAAACATCTTCTAGTAAGTGTCTACAAAGTGTGTTCAAATAAAAGCCCTGGGGTCAAAACTGGCCCCGCCCCAGGGGTGTCATTGTTTTTAACTATATGTGTAATCTTCTTATAAAAAGCCCAATGAGCTAGAGCTGAGATGTCTAGCATGAAACATTTTCTTATGGGTGTCTACCAAGTTTGTGCAATAAAAGCCCCTGGGTTAAATTGGCCCTGCAACGTTGGGGTGGGGGTTGGGGGCCTATATACAGGTGAGCAACCTCAGGGCCATCATGGCCCTCTTGTTTTAAGTATACTGGTTGATCTTATTAAATATAGAATACTTTTACTGTCTAGTTTATATTTTATAAGACTTTTGAAAATTTCAGGTACATGGTGATATTTGATAAAAACTTGGCATAATTTAGCCAATAAATACTGATAATAATTATTTAATTAAAATGAAACACTTTTCTTTCCAAGAGTGATCCGAGAAATACATAAATAATGTTCAAAGAAAAAGAAAAAAAGTTGCCTCCTGTGGGGTTTGAACCCGCGCCCCTCAGTTTCAATGCAGTTGACAGTAGTTCTAGCCCATCTAAATACTCTTGAATTCATACCTTGAATTCCATTAAGATTTTATAGTGTTTTATTTTATGAACTTTATATTATTTATAAAATTCAATGATAGATATTTTGATAAATTATATGTAATTCACATAGAATATTTTAGCAAGCAATCAAAACATTTTCTAGGTGAAAGATGCTATTTTGCTGACCAAAGCCATCAACCTAGGCTGAGAATTGGGGACTCAAAAGAAATGGTATTGAAAAACAAGTATGTTTGTGTCAAATGCTTTGCCCTGGTGGCATCAGAAAGTGGTCTAACTGAAAACAAACAAACAAGACAATACATTAATGGGGTTGACCTAAGGAAGTTCTGTTCTGACATATTTGCCAAGATGTTTCGTGAGGGACTATACAAAGTTGGATTTGCATTACCTACAGGAGATCCAAACTTGATAGGGAAATTAGATGCAGTTATTGAAGCATTTCATGACATTTACACAACACAGTTGTATGATAATACGCCAGATTCCGAACTTATATTTGGTGTGAAGACTGAAGCTGAGAGATGGATGCAGGAAGTTGATAATACCCTCAAGTTTGCCCCATATGCTAGGCGCAATATTTCCCCTAGATATACAGGTAAATGTTCAATGATAGATTCTATCTCTTTTCTCTTTTGTCAAATTATATTTTGATTGTTTATTCTTACTGATTAAGATATGTTACCTTGATAAACTCCACTACTTTACCCTTTTTACCATGTGCATTTGAACAGGCTGGGAATATTGAATTATCCTATATGAGGAAGCTTTTCAGCCAATTTTAGCCAACTTACATTCTGTCTCTGATTCTACCCAGATGCCTGTCATGAAATGATCATTAAAGAGCATTTCAGAACTTAGCCATCAAATGATACTGCAATTAAACTTTTTTAGATGATTGTCTCCCCTGATATTTTTTATCTCTTTTATGATTTTCAGGTCTTTTGAACAGTCCATGTACAAGTGTAGAGATAGCCAAGAAGTCTATTCTTGAGACAGGTGTAAGTTTTAATCTATGGTATTTAACAGTCATGCACTGTTAAATGCTACTCTGTCAATATTTTTTTGTTTTACATCTTTGGGCGGACCAGTGCTTTGTTGAAAGTTTTGGCTTGATGTGTATTACCAGTGCACTACTAAAACATTTGACATATTTACAGACTGTCATCATAGTTTTTGTGTTACAATTTACCTTTATTGTTAGCATTCAAAAAAGGTGGCTAAGTTTTTGAAATTAAATCTTTTAAACATTTTAGAACCTAATGTGGAATGCAAATCTAGATTTAATGAATGCCTGAATATGTAACTTCATGTTCTTGTATTAAACTAACCTGTAACCATTTGACACACAGATTTTTGTTTGCCAGATTTAGAACCTTGACACATGTAAAATGTGATGAGCCATAATTTTTGTGCCCCCACTATAGGGGGGCATTTAGATTTACCCTTGTCTGTCCGTCCTTCCGTACAAACCCAGAGGTACTTGTGTGACTTGGAGAACAATGGGTAACAGTAAATTCCTATTCATTCCGTTTTTACTTGTGTGTCTTTTTTTAAGCCTTGTGTGACTAAAAGTGGCCAAAAAGATCAAAGGAAAAGTCACATAAGTATGTCTGTCCATCTGTCCGTTCCCTTTTTGTGTCGCACGTAGCGCAAAAAGTAATTGACCTAGAGTCATGAAACCTTACAGAAATGTTGATCAGCATGTGAAGTTGTGCACCTGGTTATTTTCATGTGGATATATATAGTATTTTTAGAGTTATTGCCCTTGACTCAGTAAAAATTTGCAATTTTCAACTTGTGTCGCAAGTATTACTCAAAAGTATTTGACCTAGAGTCATGAAACCTTACAGGAATGTTAATCAGCATGTGTAGTTGTGCACCTGGGTATTTTTGTGTGGATATTTTTAGTATTTTTAGAGTTATTGCCCTTGACTTAGTAAAGATTTTCAATTTTCAACTTGTGTTGCACGTAACTCAAAAAAATTAGTTGACCTATAGTCATGACCTTACAGGAATGTTGATCAGCATGTGCAGTTGTGCACCTGGATATTTTCATGTGGATATTTTTGTGTCGCCTTGAAGCCTTGAAAAGGTGACATATAGGTGTTACTTTTGTTGTCGGCGTTGGCGTCATTGTCGGCGTCGGTTCCCCTAAAGCTTGTCCAGAGCATAACTCAGTCACTATAAGTCTGATTGACTTCAAACTTGGTATGCATGCTTCTTTCAATAACCAGAAGTGCAGTGCACAAGAACCAGTACTCTGCACTTCTTAATTTTTGAGTTATTGCCCTTTGTTAATTTTCATACTTTAATTTTTTCCGGGCCATTTCTTTTCAACTATAAAAGCTATGTACTTGAAACTTCATAGGATGATAGATCTCATTAAAAAAAGTGCATTGCACAAGAACCAGTACTCTGCACTTCCTAATTTTTGAGTTATTGCCCTTTGTTAATTTTCATACTTTATTTTTGTTCGGGCCATTTCTCCTTAAATGTATAAAAGCCATGGACTTGAAACTTCATAGGATGATAGATCTCATTAAGAAGAAGTGCAGTGCACAAAAACCAGTACTCTGCATTTCTTATTTTTTGAGTTATTGCCCTTTGTTAATTTTCATACTTATTTTTGTCCAGGTCATTTCTCCTAAAGCATAAAAGCTATGGACTTGAAACTTCATGGGATGATAGATCTCATTTACAAGAAGTGCAGTGTACAAGAACCGGTACTCTGCATTACTTATTTTTTGAGTTATTGCCCTTTGTTAATTTTCATACTTATTTTTGTCCAGGTCATTTCTCCTAAAGTATAAAAGCTATGGACATGAAACTTCATAGGATGATAGATCTCATTAAGAAAAAGGGCAGTGTACAAGCACTGGTACTCTGCATTTCTTATTTGAGTTATAACCCTTTACTAATTTTCATACTTTATTTTTGTCCAGGCCATTTCTCATAAATTATAAAAGCTATGGACTTGAAACTTCATAGAATGAGTATATCTTATTGATAAGAAGTGCAGTACAAAGAAAATGCTGCTCTGCACTTCTTGTTTTTTTAATTATTGCCCTTTGTAAATTTTCTTGTCCTGGCCATTTCTCCTAAACTATATTGTTCACAAGTTGACACATCCCACTCGCAGAGTTCTAGCTAGTATTTTTAGAGTTATTGCCCTTGACTTAGTAAAAATTTCCAATTTTCAACTTGTGTCACACGTAACTCAAAAGGTATTTGACCTAGAGTCATGAAACCTGACAAGAATGTTGCCCAGCATGTGTATTTGTGCACCTGTGTTACAACCTGAATTGTAATAAAACCGGAATTGTAATAAAATTATTACAAAACTGGTTAGAATGCAAAAATATTATTACATTTAGGTAGTCAACCTGAATTGTAATAAAACCCGAAAGTGTAATAAACGCTAAAAACTCAAGAAAATGTGACAAGAAAAGTCTCTTTCACATACATGGTGTTTAAAAAAAAGAATTATGACTTGGAACTTGGACATCGGAATTTTTATAAAACTTAACATGGAAGCGAATTAAAACTAAAAGAAAATACATTTCAAATTTGAAGAGCAGAAATGGTATCATAAAATTGATGACAACCTGCATTCTTTAAAGTACTTGACATACATTTTATTCCTATGATATTTTTACTGTTATCCACAAACCCACTTATCTATATATTACTTATAACTGGTATTTAACGTTATTTTTTATCAGTAGATGGTTTGTACATGGATTCTTTCGTTTCCGTTGTTGTTGCTAAAGAATTATTTTTGAAATAGAAAACTAGTAAAACATTTATTACATTTTGAGTTTTTATTACATTTCAGGTTGTCTACTGAGTTGTAATAACTTTTTGGCAGTTCAACCGGTTTTGTAATAAAATTGTTACACTTAACTTTTACTGTTACTCCTACATTTTCATTTATATCAAACAATCAACATTTCTTATAACCGATGTTTAACGTTTCTTTTATTAGTAGATGGTTTGTTCATGTTGTTGTTGATGTTAAAGTATTATTTAAGAAATAGACAACTTTCAAAAAGTTTATAACATTTTTGTGTTTTTATTACATTTCAGGTTGTCAACTCAATTGTAATAACTTTTTGGCAGTTCAACCGGTTTTGTAATAAAATTTGTACACTTGAATTTTACTGTTACTCCTACATTTTGCTTTTTATCAAACAATCAACGTTACTTATAACTGGTATTTAACGTTATTTGTTTATTAGTAGATGGTTTGTACTTCGGTTCTTTCGTTTCCGTTGTTGATAAAGAATTATCTAAGAAATAGAAAACTATTAAAAAATTATAAATTTTGAGTTTTTATTACATTTCAGGTTGTCTATTGAAATGTAATAACTTTTTGGCAGTTCAACTGGTTTTGTAATAAAATTGTTACACTTAACTTTCACTGTTACTCCTACATTTTCATTTATATCAAAAATCAACATTTCTTATAACTGATGTTTAACGTTATTTTTTCATTAGTAGTTGGTTTGTTCATCGTTTTTTTTTCTTTTCTGTTGTTGTTGTTGTTGAAGAAGAATTATTCTAGAAAATGACAACTTTCAGAAAGTTTATTACATTTAGAGTTTAAATATTACATTTCAGGTTGTCAACTCAATTGTAATAACTTTTTTGCAGTTCAACCGGTTTTGTAATAACTTTTCTATACACCAAGCAAGCAAATTTTCTTTATTGCTATTATGTCGTTAGTAAAGATGATCTTCAAAAAAAAAATTATTTGGTGGTTGTACAGAATAGAAAATGAAAATGCTACGTATCAGATAGTTTGTTAAATTTCACGATGTCATTACGCTTCAGATTGTTTATTTAAGGTACTATATGGACAATTTGTCTGCAATTGTATTAAGATTGTTACATTTGAATGAACCTCATCCTTCCTTATTAGTCCCCTACCGGTTTACCGGAGGGGACTTTAGGTTTACCCTCCGTCCGTCTGTCCGTCTGTCCGTCCGTCTGTCCGTCTGTCCGTCCGTCTGTCTGTCAGTCCGTCAGTCCGTCCGTCCACAAAACTGGATCCCGCGATAACTTGAAAAGTACTGAAAATACTTTTATGAAACTTGGTATATGGATAGATGGCAGTATGGAGATTATGCACGTCTTTTTCTTTTCTTCCTATGTTGAAAATTCTGGTTGCTATGGCAACAAATAGGCTAAAAATATGGCAAATTTTACACATAAACTGGATCCAGTGATAACGCAAAAAAGTACTGGAAATATTTTTATGAAACTTGACATATGGTAGATGGCAGTCTTGGAATTATGCACGTCTTTTTCTTTTCTTTCTATGTTGAAAATTCTGGTTGCTATGGCAACAAATAGGCTAAAAATATGGCAAATTTTACACATAAACTGGATCCAGTGATAACGCAAAAAGTACTGGAAATATTTTTATGAAACTTGACATATGGGTAGATGGCAGTCTTGGAATTATGCACGTCTTTTTCTTTTCTTTCTATGTTGAAAATTCTGGTTGCTATGGCAACAAATAGGCTAAAAATATGGCAAATTTTACACATAAACTGGATCCAGTGATAACGCAAAAAGTACTGGAAATATTTTTATGAAACTTGACATATGGGTAGATGGCAGTCTTGGAATTATGCACGTCTTTTTCTTTTCTTCCTATGTTGAAAATTCTGGTTGCTATGGCAACAAATAGGCTGAAAATATGGCAAATTTTTATACATAAACTGGATCCAGTGATAAAGCAAAAAGTACTGGAAATACTTTTATGAAACTTGACATATGGGTAGATGGCAGTCTTGAGATTATGCACGTCTTTTTATTTTCTTCCTATGTTGAAAATTCTGTTGCTATGGCAACACATATACTGAAAATATGGCAAATTTTACACATAAACTGAATCCAGTGATAACTCAAAAAGTACTGGAAATATTTTTATGAAACTTGACATATGGGTAGATGGCAGTCTTGATATTATGCATGTCTTATATGTTCTTCCTATTTTGAAAAAATATCAGTTTGCCTTGGCAACAAATAGGCTTAAAAGATGGCAAATATAACAATATTTGTGATAAGTCAAAAAGAGCTGAAAATTTTTATGAAATTGCATCTTTAAGTCAAGAGTTATCTCCTATTTAAGAATTTTGCTTTTAAAATGTTATATTTTGGTAACAGGGATGTTTCAAATATTAACTTTAGAGTGTCCTTCAGTCCGTCTGTCTGTCTGTTCATAAAAACTGTTTCCTGTGTGATCACTTTTAAAGAACTTTTCCAACAAGTTTACTTAAAATAGAGAAAAATTGAAACATAAGTGAATGGCCAAATTGGCCCTTCAGAATGTTGATGGGGTTCTAACCGGTAGGGGACTTATGGATTGCTTGCAATACTATGATAATTGCTTGTTTATTCATATTATCAATAAATTAACATTACTGTGACCTTAAAAATCAATTTTTTCAATGGTATCGTAGGAATAAAATGTATGTCAAGTACTTTAAAGAATGCAGGTTGTCATCAATTTTATGAGACCATTTCTGCTCTTCAAATTTGAAATGTATTTTCTTTTAGTTTTAATTCGCTTCCATGTTAAGTTTTATAAAAATTCCGATGTCCAAATTCCAAGTCCAAATTCGTTTTTTTAAACACCATGTATGTGAAAGAGACTTTTCTTGCCACATTTTCTTGAGTTTTTACCGTTTATTACATTTTCGGGTTTTATTACAATTCAGGTTGACCACCTAAATGTAATGATTATTTTTGCATCCTAACCAGTTTTGTAATAATTTTATTACAATTCCGGTCTTATTACAATTCAGGTTGTAACATTTTTTGTGTGGATATTTTAAGTATTTTTAGAGTGATTGCACTTGACTTAGTAAAAATTTCCAATTTTCAACTTGTGTCGCACTTTACTCAAAAGAATTTGACATAGAGTCATGAAACCTTACAGGAATGTTGCTCAGCATGTGTAGTTGTGCACCTGGGTATTTTTGTGTGGATATATTTAGTATTTTTAGAGTTATTGCCCTTGACTTAGTAAAAATTTCCAATTTTCAATTTGTGTCACATGTAACTCAAAAAGTAGTTCACCTAGAGTCATGAAACCTTACAGGAATGTTGATCAGCATGTGAAGTTGTGCACCTGGGTATTTTCGTGTGGATATTTTCAGTATTTTTAGAGTTATTGCCCTTGACATAGTAAAAATTTCCAATTTTCAACTTGTGTCGCACTTAACTCAAAAAGAATTTGACCTAGAGTCATGAAACCTTACAGGATTGTTGCTCAGCATGTGTAGTTGTGCACCTGGGTATTTTTGTGTGGATATATTTAGTATTTTTAGAGTTATTGCCCTTGACTTAGTAAAAATTTGCAATTTTTCTAGTTGTGTCACATGTAACTCAAAAAGTAGTTGACCTAGAGTCATGAAACCTTACAGGAATGTTGATCAGCATGTGAAGTTGTGCACCTGGGTATTTTCGTGTGGATATTTTCAGTATTTTTAGAGTTATTGCCCTTTACTTAATAAAAATTTCCAGTTTTCAACTTGTGTCGCACTTAACTCAAAAAGAATTTGACCTAGAGTCATAAAACCTTACAGGATTGTTGCTCAGCATGTGTAGTTGTGCACCTGGGTATTTTTGTGTGGATATATTTAGTATTTTTAGAGTTATTGCCCTTGACTTAGTTAAAATTTGCAATTTTCTAGTTGTGTCACATGTAACTCAAAAAGTAGTTGACCTAGAGTCATGAAACCTTACAGGAATGTTGATTAGCATGTGAAGTTGTGCACCTGGGTATTTTCGTGTAGATACTTTTAGTATTTTTAGAGTTATTGCCCTTGGCTTAGTAAAAATTTACAATATTTAACTTGTGTTGCACGTAACTCAAAAAGTTTATGACCTCACAGTAGGCCTGAAAGTTTACAAGAATGTTGGTCAGCATGTGTACTTACGCACCTTGGGATTTTCTTGTGGATTTATTCAGTATTTGTAGTATTTGCCTTTTACTTAATAAAAGATTTTTAGTTTTCAACTTGAGCACATGTAGCCAAAAAAAAATTTGAACTAGAGACATAAGATTGACACATCTGTGGAGTGTGGGGGCACTAGTGTCCTATGGACACATTTCTAGTTTGTAACCTGGTTTTTACATTTCAGGCAAACTGTATAGTTGTAGCAATTTCTCCAGATCTGAATTTGTCAAAGGGATTTGTTTCAAGTCTTGTCAGTGAGGCATGTGGTAAACGGCTGCAAGCAGAGTTGTCCTCAAAATACAAAAAAGCTCCAGAGTGTTGGGACCTTGTTATGTGCCAGTCATATAACTTGGCTGAAAAGGGAATACAGAAGGTGATATTTGGATTTATACCACATTGGACAGATTGCCAGAAAATAGAGGTGAGTTAAATGCTTTTACTCACAAAAAATGTATTGTTATATAGACTAGAGCTGGCATTGATAGAAACAATATCAAAGTATTGTTGACATTTTTCTGTTATTGATATATCAGTGTATCATTGATATATGTCATCCGATATGGATATATTGTTGACATGCCTTGCCTCCAATCAATGACAGGTCTAAACAAGACTGCATAATTAATTTGGAAAAACTGGAAGGCATGGTTTTTCTCCTCTTTTTATACTTTGAAATATTTAAAGGCATGATTTCCTTCTATTTCTGTTATTCAAATAATTTGGAGTAACTTTTGCAAACCTTTTCTTCTTAGGTCACCGAGCACAAAGTGCTCAAGGGTGAGCTTTTGTGATCAGTCTGCGTCCGTTGTGTGTTCTTCAAAAAATGACCTAAAACTTTTAAAACAACTAGAGAGCTTATATTTTTAGCATAAAACATCTTATAGTTGGTGTTTTTTAAGTTGGTTCAAATAAAAGCCCTGGGGTCAAAATTGGCACTTCCCCAAGGGTCATTGATTTTCTTTAAATGTATATACAGTCAAGACTGTCATATGTGACTTTCAAAGGGACCTTTAGAAAAAGGTCACATATAACAGAAAGTCTCTCAACAAAAAATGATGAAAAACTTTGGAATCACCCAAAATCTAGTTTTTCCATGTTAACATGTGGTCTTTTACCTAATTTTGGTGAAAAATTGTTGTTTTGTAACATTTATAATTTTTTAGCTCACCTGAGCATGCTCAGGGTGAGCTTTTAGGATCGATGATTGTCCGTCGTCCGTCCGTCTGCACTCACAGGAGAGTAATTATGTGGCTAGAGGGACAATAGGTAACTGTTCTTTCTCTTTGATGTCATTCATTCCGTAATGCTTTTATGTGGCTATTTTCTTTTGTGTGGCTAAAAAGAACAATAGAGAGAACAATAGAGTAGCCACATAATTACTGTCCTGTGAGAACATTTAGTTGTTAACACTCTAGCGGTCGCATTGCCTCAATCATCATCAAACTTGGTCATGATGCTTATCTAGTTGATAGCTAGGATGAGTTCGAACATGGGTCATCTCGGATGAGAAACTAGGTCACAAGAGCTAAAAATAGAGAAACCTTGTTAACACTCTAGAGGTCACATTTTTGCCTCAATCATCATCAAACTTGGTCAGGATGTTTGTCTAGGTGATAGCTCGGATGAGTTTGAACATGGGTCATCTCGGATGAAAAAGTAGGTCACCGGAGCTAAAAATAGAAAAACCTTGTTAACACTCTAGCGGTCACATTTTTGCATCAATCATCATCAAACTTGGTCAGGATGCTTATCTATGTGTCTCAAAAGTATTTGACCTAGAGTCATGAAACCTTACAGGAATGTTGCTCAGCATGTGTAGTTGTGTACCTGGGTATTTTTGTGTGGATAATTTTTAGTATTTTTAGAGTTATTGCCCTTGACTTAATAAAAATTTTCAATTTTCAACTTGTGTTGCATGTTACTCAAAAAAATTAGTTGACCTAGAGTCATGAAACCTTACAGGAATGTTGATCAGCATGTGAAGTTGTGCACCTGGGTATTTTCATGTGGATATTTTTGTGTCGCCTTGAAGCCTTGAAAAGGTGACATATAGGTGTTACTTTTGTTGTCGGCATCGTTATTGGTGTTGGCGTCATTGTCGGCGTCGGTTCCCCTAGAGCTTGTCCAGAGCATAACTCAGTCACTATAAGTCTGATTGACTTCAAACTTGGTATGCATGCAGAAGAACAGTGCTCAAGAACCAGTACTCTGCACTTCTTAATTTTTGAGTTATTGCCCTTTGTTAATTTTCATACTTTAATTTTGTCCGGGCCATTTCTTTCACTGCGAAAAATATACTGATATACGGGAATATACGGTCCCATATTTTTGACATATACGGGCGTGTACGGGATGTATTTGTCGGATATACGGACCAAGTATACGAGTCCGTATAGGGAACACCGGGTATACGGGAAGTCCGTATATGCATCAGGCATATACGGAATTCCGTATTTGCACCATATACATGTACGTATATTTGTTCGTATGTTTGGGGTATACGGAGAATAAAATCCCGTATACAGACTTTATCAAGGTTGTTATCCCTAGTATACTATAAATATACCAAGGATATACGGGACCGTATTTTCTACGTATACAGAGGATATACAGACTCGTATTTTCTACGTATACAAAGGATATACGGAACCGTATATTCTACATATACAGATGATATACGGACTCGTATTTTCCACATATACAGATGATATACGGAATCGTATTTTCCACATATACAGATGATATACGGAATCGTATTTTTTACATATACAGAAGATATACTGAATCGTATTTTCTATATATACAGGGGATATACGGACTTGCATTTTTTAGTTGTACACAGGGTATACAGAACTGTATTTTCGAGATAAAAGAAGGTACAGATACCATCAAAAGCATGCATTTACATGACCGAAATGCAGGCTTGTACAATAGAACATGTTTGATTACACATTGTGAATGGGAATTGTAGTCATATGCTTAAGAACTTTATCTTCAAAATTGGAGTATTTCAAATAATAAAGTAAAAACCAAATCGAGTCACTCTTAAATATTTATTATTTCATAAACATATATTCAATATGTATACATATATATAACAAAATAAACATGTCTTCGCTACAATAGTCATATATTGTTGTAAGCCTTATTCCAGAGGGACACATTAATGTAGCGTTGCAACGGAAAGGCGATATACCGGTATGTTGCGATACAGAGTCATGAAATACGTATCACAGTGCAGAACATCCGCACCGCGATATTTTCTTCAGAGATCGAATTATACATGTACATTTTTCGATATTTTCAAGCCGTAACCTTTATGAATTGCATGTTGTTTAAATCTAGAACAAACTATGCTAACTTGAAGTTCTTTTCGATTTATCTTAACAATGATTCATATGAGCCACTTATATTACACCCATAAAACATTTTAAAGATATTCATATCATTTGTTCGTGTTAACATTCACATATTATTTTAGGAAAATGAGTCCATAGCACAAATTGATAATTACAGAAAGTTTTAATAATAATCATTAAAATTAAAAATCCGTATTCACAGAAATTCGTCATTCAAACACTGTTCTTAAAAGCAGTTAAATATATCAATCATCTATAGGAATGATACGTAGACCAGTGTGACGGTGTCTATTTCGTGACGTAGGAAATGTTTTCTCCAGATATTACAATCTTCTTCGGCATGTGTGTATCTGAAAAAAGAGAGTTTAAAATCCTGTTTAAATAATGTCATGAAATAGTTATCACAACTTTCAAAAAGACTATGCACAAGCATTTTTTTAAGCGTATACATATATACAATTTTTTTTCTTACTCAAATTTCAAAATTATTTTATTTTATTAGGATAAAGATGTCATTTATAAGCAATCATTTACACAGGATTTAAATGAAATAATTAATCTATGACGGATGATAAGTTATATGTTTTTGTTATGAAACTTTTACGAATATATATATTTCACACTTGTAATATAAATTATAATGGTATCTTTGTTCTATGTAAAGAGTATTTTATTGATTTAAAATATATTTAAACAAAATAACATTGCATTGGGAAAAGTGCTGACATAATCGTTTTGATCGTTTTAAGATGTATATTAGCATCGTTAGTATGAGTAAATTCGTTTGGGGAAAAAAAAGGTTTAAAATGTACAGATATTTGCTACTCAGATGTAGATCCGTGTTTGCACAATGATATCCAGTTAAGTAAAAGGCAGAATACCCAGCTATACTTCTCATTTATATAAAAACGTAAATCTTAACAAATTTGAATTATTGTTTGTTTCAGTTTCAATTCTTTCAAAAACTATTCCATCACAACTTCACAGCAACGAATGAATACCTTCAATGGACACTAGTGTAGATTAATATTTTTTTATTGTTAAGACTGTTTAACTAGGTAAGTTGACAATAGAATCTCTTACAGTGTGCCATCACTAAAAATAAAGTGATAATTCTCACAAAAATTATAAATCAAAATATTCTCCCTTGCCTATAGCATTAATCTGATAGTATGAAATCAAATTCAGATAATAAAATATATGTATCATATGTGACAATTGCATAAAATAACATAGGAAATATTTTAGTTACTACATGCGAATGCGACAGTATTACGTCCGCACGTGAAACATTTACGTATCAACGCCATATGTTTCACGTGCGCACAAGTACTGTGCGTTTAGTATAATAATTAACTGACGAGGTGGTCAAGTCCACTATCCAGGTGTAAAACAGCTATCATATTGTGTTTTTTATCTTCAAACAGGCTAGCTATATAAAACAAATTATCAACAAATTTACCAACTCTCAGCGTAATGCAGTAGGTAAGGTTGTGGTAAATATCAATGCAAGACAGCTAGGCTCGGATTCGCCTTTTTCCCAAAAATATTGCTTTATAATTATCAATCAAGTAAGAAAGTTTTGTATCATCTATTGTAAAGATTATAAATGCTGTGCTATTTTCTATTAACTTCTCATTTTGTTTTAAATGTAGCTACATTTAGCCCTATTTAGCAAGTTGGTGCAAACTTATACGGAATGCATGATACTGTACACAGACTGTTTCAACTATAGTTAAGTTTGCACGAAATACTCCTGCACTGCAAAAGTACTATGACTACTACATACTACACACTATACAGGATAAAAATCACTATCATCCGTGCATGTATGTCTAAATTATTAAATATCATAACAAAACTACCTTTCTATCCCAATTCATTTTTTTAATGTAAAATTAAAAAAAATATATGGAAAGAAAAACGCGAAAAAGTGAGACAACTTGTGAGGCTCGAACTCGTGACATCAAGACATTTCAAATTCTGTTTCTTATCTTACATAATATTCGCTTGTGAAAACCCTGTTTTACCTATTCAGACAAAGGTTGTTAACTTTAGTGTACATGCACAA